AATCGATTTGCTCGATTTCTGATTGAATTGCCGAGAGGAGCAACATATCACGCCAATTCAAGGATTTTTTTCGTATACAGTTACGCAACATCGGCTGACTTTCATCCTCCGAGTGTGTATATGTAGCAACTGGTAATTCCCACGTGCAGTGTAATGACAATCTGTCAACATATCCGGACCACTGTGCGTCTCTCCTCTCACTCGATTTGTCCTTTTTCCCACTCGATGTGTATACACATGTACACCGGTGCGGTGCGAGTATCGCGTAAAAAGGGCGCAGGCTCATCGCAGCAGCCGGCGCGTATGTCCGACACGCATGTTTAAGCATACTTTTTTACGTAGTCGATGTTGGTCTCTCGCACGGACTCCACCCGAACACGGAGTCGATTTTTTTTTTGCGCGCTCCAACGAAACTCGTACACATAAATATCGACGTGGAGAGTGTAGCGAGTGCATATGACAGTAAGTTGATTCGGGGAAAATTTAATCTACAATCTCTTTCGGGCAGCCAATATATGGGGGGAGTCGCCGGGGCGATAGAGATCAGCGCCCGGTAAAGAGCGTTTCTCCCGATTTCCCGCTTATCTCTCTCCTAACGATAACGAAAGTTACTTGGGTACATATACATATACGTATTCCAACCGAGGGAATGAGAAATGAAAAGGAGGAGCTATCTTTTGCGCCGCGAGTCGCGTTTTCTCGCTTCACCGGCGCGATCCGCGTAAGCCGCGGAAAGTAGCTCAAGTTTAATGCTCTCAAGGCACGCGTACGCGCAGTCTGTGTACATAGTAGTGGTGGTTCGGATAGAAATTTTCTTCAAAAGCAATTTGTACACGAAAATGTAACAGACGCCGACCGGGTGACTTCTGCCTTTCTAAATGATCGCGAGGTGTAATTTCGTCGCCGGCACTTGAATTGCGTCGGCCAAGTTATACATGGCGTTAAAAATACGGTGCTCGGCGTATGCCCTGTGACGTAAACTTTCTAATGACGCGATGCTTTTAGTACTTTAATGAGCTTTACACGGATTATTTTAAAACCTAATGACTCGTGAGATTAGTTTACTTTTGTTCATTTCTTTTTCTATTTATATGGCTGGAACCAGTATAGAACACGGGACACCTGAGAATTTTTAAATCAAAGGCAATTATGTATTTTACGTTTGTGCAAGTTTTTGGACTCCGATGTTTTATAGCTCGCAGTGTGACACTCGAGCGTTTGATCTCCACACTCGTTATGAGAAAAACAATTACCTACGATTAATTTTATCGCGATATTTTACTAGTAGAGTGCTCAACTTTTCATAAGCGAAATGTTTAAAAAATCCATTCACTGAAATTCATAGTATTCGGATTGTTTGATTTCGGAAACATAAAAATAATAATTGAAAGGCTAGATTTACTCAATCGAACCGAATCAACCATTTGTCCTACATTATTTTGCACAACATAAGCGTGAAAAAACTTTCTCGTTCCCAAAACCTTTTGAAACAATCACGACCGTATTATACTCGGCGCGTAAAAATTATAATCACCCGCCCAAAAACCAGTTCCCTTCTCCCAAATAAAAATACCAACTGCAGCTTTCTAAACAACGCGTGCGTTGCATACATCAAAGTAAGTTGGTTTTAGCATTGTTTCGGAGTCAACGAAACTAATTCTGACGTACGGAATTGTTTCTCCTCCCGCATATTTTCGCGCTCGTTTTCGCGGCACTCGCGTCTACATGTAGGCACGCTTGTTACGTTATCAGCCGTGGTGAAAAAGTTTCGTTAAACTTAAATACCATGCACAAAGTATGCAAGTTATTTTCTCTCCCTCGTTTGGGATGGTCTTTTCTTTTTATTACGATCGATACAACGCCTACAGCGAAAAGCCCTGTTATGAAACAAAAAGAGCAAGATAGACGTTAGTTACAACAGTCGCACGTGCTTAAAAAAAAAGGGAAAGGAGAGCGATCGGGAGATAAATCTTTATGACGTTGGAAAGAGTTTTCATAATTGTACGAGTCCCTCCTTCACTATACTCAATCCAACGGCTCTCCATACAGGCAGCGTATCGCGAGAGATGGTATTATACACTACTTGTGTGGTAACCAGACTGACGTAAAACACGAATCGCTGTCGTCGCTCGAACAAGATGGTGCATAAATTATCAAACAGATATACTCGTGTGCCAAGTCTTTTTTTTTTTGCTATTGTACAAGTGACGCGAGTGCCAACTACATAACTCAGCATCTCCAGGCGATTCCTGCTATTATTGTTACTTTTTCAGTGCGAGCGCAACAAAGTTGAGAAATACTTTCACATCGCGCCTTTTGGATCATTGAGAGAAGTGCACCTATATATACGTTGTACACGCAAATTCTTGCAATTCATAAGGATCAGGAGGGTTGAATACTAAACAATTAGCTGGGAGATTTTTTTTGTTGAAAGTCTTAACGAGATCACGCTACAGCAGAGCAGCAAACGCTTGTCGAAACAACCCGAACTTTGGGTCTGGCACTCCAACAATTCTAATCATACGGGTGGGTTCTGTAATCAAAGCCTCCCGGCTGACTAGGGGGGGGGGGGTAGATACACTTTGAAACGGGCACGAAACACGGCCAACAATCAAACGGCTTGAAAATTTCTCTAATTCATCTTGAGCCCCAAAGGTACGTAATTCCAGACCATTTCGGGGGCCACGAACAAACAAATTGTACAATAATAATAATAATGCATGGAGAGAGAGAAGCCTTTGGTGGTACAAGAAAAAGAAGAAGGGGGAGGGGGAAAAAAGAGTCAGGAGGGTCAGGGCGCGTATCGATTGCGCGGGTGGCGTGTAAACAAAAGCGAGAGAGCCAGCCGAGGAGGAAGAGCACGTGACCGCGTATGCATACGACTATAAATTACATGTATAGGTGGGGTGAGGGTGAAACGGTGGCGGCGACACGAGTCTGGCCTAATTTCCCCCGCTTTATCCGGTGTCCTTCGTAAAACGTACACACGGTCTTTGGCTTAAAAAAAAAAAAGTGTCGGTCTCTTCGAAATATCTATTGGTTATATCTTTCTAACTGCTACTCATTTATCCATAATTTTTAATTGTTTTTAAGAATTACTTAAATCGAGAGAAAAATAGATGAATGTAAGCAGGTATTCTGTCATTTGGTTGGATGATTGTTGTGCTTTTATTTTCCTTTTAAAAATGTTTTCAATGTTTTTGTTGTGTCTGGCGGATGCTTTTCGAATGATGAAAAAAAAGATATTTGACATTAAAGCGTTGATTTTTCTTTCGTCATTAATCTCCGTCGCAATTGCGGTGTAACTTTTTTTTCTCTCTTAAATCCAGCGAGAAAAGAAGAAAATGGCTTCGCGGAGCGACAAAGTTTTACTTTTGTTCTTTACTTATCCAGTTAATTGTTTGGACTCAACAGAATAAACATTGCGTCAGCGCTGTATTTTGTTTCATTAAAACTTGTACGCGGCGGGAAAACTACGGCGAGACAAGTCAAGAATAACAACTAACCGCAAACATTTTCAACGTTTGCCTTCTCCTCCCGACTACTTACTTGTCATTTATGAACAATCGTTAATTGTTACATTCCTTTTCTTGGTGTATAAGAATAACAATAAGAAGGACCTTTCAATAAAAAGTTTGCAGTCATTACATTTACATAATCAAAGGGAAAAATATAAATTAAAAAAGAAAACCTGAAGATGGAAAAAATTATTGCACAGTACTAAGAAATTGTATCAGAGTCAGTTTAAATAAATCACGTAACTGACAGTATAAAGAAGAAGTGTGAAAGAAAGAGATGAAAAAAGGTGAGTAAGACGGGCAAGTGTGCATGTAACTGAGCAGTCAAGTGGCCTACAAGTATTTATACAAGGCAAGTGGACGTCTCTGTTTCTGTGACTAAGTACTTACTGCTGAGAAAGGAACAAAAAAAAAATGCTGCAATGCAACAAAGATGGAATTGTTGGCAGGCATGCAAGTCCTGTGTGAAACGCTCTCTTACAATAATGTATATTATTTATACACTGTACGCTCTTGCACTCCACGTGCCTCGAGTTGGTCATGAATGTAGTAATGAAACCCGCTCGATTGGATTGTTTGCTCGCTTTCCTTGATTCTCAAGTGATGAGTGAGTGCATGCACGGTCGTATGGTATTACACTACTCATGTAGCGCATTCTTACTCCCAACGATATGCCAAAAGTAAACGTCAGGCGCGAGCTGCGTGAATGAATGTTGACGTTGGCAAAAAAAAAGCTTTTCTTTACCCGATCTTCCTAGTTGTTTACTTTAATAAGCATTACGGAGCACGTATAAAATGATCCAAGTAACAGTTTTTGTTTGTATATTCAAATACAAAGGGTATAAAAGATTTATATTAATTTTTACTGTTCAACAAAATAGATTTTCTGATTTGACAAACTTACAAGTGCGGACAAAAAGTATTGGAAGAGTAACGGCTGTAATAATTTAAATTAAAAAATGTTTGGAAAAACTTAAGAAACGTAAACATTGTAAATTTCTCATTGAGATCTTGGACGATATCTATATATATAAAAAAAAAAAAAACTTTCAACTATTCTCAATATAAATGAATGCAAACAAAGCACCCTAAGCTTGCAACAGTTTGTTTTTTCGTTTAAAAAAAAAAAAAATATTGCACGAGCGGGGACCAACCAATCGAGTTCATTGACACAGCGGGAAAGATAAACAAACGCGTACGCGTGCATGCATCAATACTCATATGGCAGTGCTATAGTTGGACACCATACGCTGACCGGACGGTGGAAAAGGGAAGAGAAACAGAGAAAGAAAAAAAAAAAAAACTTTACAGCTATCTCGGCGTCCTGGATACACGCCTCGTATAGGTTATGTTTCCTGACAGGACGTCTATTTTTATTCAACCTGCGCTCCAACATTTGCCATCGCGATAACCGTCACGAAAACCCTACACACAGGCACAATGCAAGAAATAAGTACAACGTCAGCTGTTGGGGCGACTAACCTCATGGGCCTTGGGGTGTTGGTGGCTGCAGAACCGGTGCTCGAGGTGCTGGATCGGCGTGGCGCTCGTCCCGGCAACCAAAGCAAATCCGACCATCAGGATCTGCAGCGACAACATCAGCAGTGCCGTCGTTGTTGGCATTGTTTTCATCAGCATTGTCATAACCGTGGGGTGAACAGCGCGATGCGCCCGGGCGTCCGCGGCCTGCAGAACGAGGCGAGCTCCGCGAGCCACGGAGTCATCAGCCGTACTGGAGCGGCGCGCGAACCTACGGCCAACTTAAATAGGCGGCACCTCCACCGCCACTGATCAGATGCACGCGCTCGTCCTCTCCGGCTGTTCCGTCCTCTGTGGGTTTATATATCTGTATATCCTCATGCATGTACAACGTAGCCGCGGTAGTGCCGCCGATGCCGCTGGCGCAGCCGCACTGTACACACACACACACACTTACCCTTATCACTCTCTCTGCAGGTGCTTGGCAGGGGGTGGCTTACGCTGCTCCTCTTTATTCTTCTTTTCCTCTTACCCCCCATCTTCCTCACGCTGCTGCTGCTGCTGCTGCTGCTGTCGATGTGACCGCTTGGGGGAGACATTTGAGGCAATCTAAACATCGGGTGATGGGAAACTTGCGTTTATGCCAAAGTATAACAATATCATCGGCAAGTACTTAATACTTAATTTAAGTTTGAAGAAAGGGCTTGTAAAGAAGGTCGATTACGGAATAATGTATGGATTTTTAAACGGGACTCGCTCAGTCGGATAAAAGGTACTTGAGTCGCGATTTTTAAAAAAAACTTCATTCTCGAATTCATGAGAAGATTTTTGTCGTAGTTCGATGAATTTCAAAATGGTAAATGGCCCGTAACTTTTGATTTGAATATCATTTTCCGACTATACCCACGTCTACTTTGAAACCTCAGTCGGAGTATTTAATAACAAATTAACTTTTTCATCCTACATCTCCTGAACAAAACCGTAACTGACCAAAGTGGCAATTTTCTTTTATGTGTATCAACGAAAGACGTTGAATAATTAAAATAAAATGTCACTTCTATCGTAACTATGTCCAAACAACTTTTCATCAATGTAAACAAATTAGAAATTTCTCCTGTAAATATTAGCTTTGGCTTTTTGAGTTGGATATAGGTGGATATAAAGCATTAATTGTTGCAAATTTAATTCACACAAGCGAGGTAATGAGTCGAAACCAAAAAAAAACTTGACTCAGAAACGGTTGAAAATTGACTCAAGAATCCGATTCAAAATTACCCCCAAAATGGGTTCACTGTTTTCGATGTTTTGATCAGATTTAGATGTGTAACAATTACTTTTTACTCTTGTAATATAGAAGTAGCGGTTGTGCAAGAACGTAAACTTTTTTGCGGTTTCAGCTATTTTTTTTATAGTTGTATAAATCGTAAAAAATTTATGGATTTGTAAATCATCTGTTTAGAAGAGTTCGAGTTTAAAACTTTGCAATACGTATACACCTCTGTTTCAACGGCAGGGAGTACCTTGAAATCATTTAATTGGAGCCCCAACAATTTGATTTGTTGTTTCTCCGTTCTGCAGAGTTTAGAAAAAAAAAAAACATGAGATGCGATGTTTTCCAAATTACAAAATAGTTGAGTAAATTGGGAGACTAAAAAAAGAACATAAAGCTGGAAGAATCCGGTTTAAGACATAATTGTTGTATTCAATGTAACGAGTAAAGTGTCATTTGCGAATTTCGCATATGACAAGCAGCCAATTAAGTTTTATAAACTCTTCAAATTCATTTCGCTTGACTGGAATTTTTTTTTTCTTAACAGAAATGATTGCGCGACTAGTTTTTCTAATTGTGCAACAAAACGAGCATTTAAAGCAAACTGATTTTTTTTTTTTTTTTCTTAGTTTCAGACGACAAAAGGATGAAACTATTAATTACAGAAACATTTTTTTAAGTTTTTTAATTTTTGCAAGTCATATAAGGAATCGGAGATCAGTTTATTTTTGACGATATGTTTATTTATTGCTATAACTGTAGAAAAAAATGGTTTTCTCAAAATTAAAAAAAAAAAAACTATTTTCTTAAAGACGAATCCAAGGTCAAATAGCTTATCATTTAGATAAACGAGGAAGCCAAATTATGCATTCAATAAAGTACGTTCTACTGAAACGAAAAAAACTCTAAATCAGTAAAAATGTTAAACTGGAAATACTGTAGGGCTTATTTTACGTAAAATTTTTTTTTGCACCAAATCAAATTTTATATCTTTTGTGTCACTGCTTTGTTTCGTTACTTATTATTTTTTATAATTTATTAATATTGAGACTAAACCTTGTAGTATCGTCATATTTGAAATGTGGATATTGTGTAATGAAAAACAAGAAATATTTACAAAACAACCACCTTTATTAAAAAATTATGAAACGTCATTTACACAAAGTTAACATAATGATAATACCTATCAAAAGTGTTATGATTTGAATTTTCAAACACATTTCAGAATTCTCAAGCCTTGCATATTTTTGAATACCAATTCTTGCTCTCCAGGCAATTGGGGTTAATACAATGCGGACATCTATTCAAGAATTTTGGTGTTACACGGTCATTTGACTTCAGATGATTAACTACAATGTCTGCGAGTGCTTCAATAAACAAAGGATGATCATTGGGAGCTTTTGCTCTCCTGATGTTCTCAATTTTTAGCTAATAAAAGTGTAATGAAATGTTTGAAAACTTTAAAGCATACTCATATCTGTATAAAGATATTACAAACCTCTTTTCCAAGATCGTTACAGTATTCAATATCCATTTCATGAAGTGTTTCAATGTGCTCGTTTACGAAAGCAATAGGAACTAAAATAAAATTATTTTTTCCTTGTTTTTTGTAACCCTTCAACGCCTCATCTGTAAATGGACCTAGCCATGGCAACGGTCCTACCTAAAAATATTGACTTTTTCAGTATGATTAAAATTTATTTTTTAAAATAATAAAATGTTTCTAAATGATATATTTGCCTTTGACTGCCACACTAAATTGTATGGGTTACAAAACTTTAATTCTTCCATAACCAATTGAACTGTTGCTCCAACTTCAGATGGATATGAATCACCTCTATTTACAGCCTAGAAATAACAAAAAAAAACAGATACATTATACTAGAATCGCAAGCCTTTAAGAGGGGTTTATTGAAGTTGAAAGTAAAACAAACCTTCAAGGGTAGCGAATGCGCAGAAAACAATATAATAACATTTTTTCTTATATTTTCCGGAAAATATTCCAATTCATCTTTTATGCGTTCAGCAAAAGTTTTTATCAACAGTGGGTGAGTTGACCATCGATCGATAACACTCCACTTTGTGTTTTCTGGAAATTTTCTAAAAAAGTCTCATGTCATGTGAATAAAGATACAAGATATTTAGAAATTAATCATAAAATTTCATTACCTATTCTTATAAAACCTGTGAATTGCGTTAAAACTGGATCCTGAAGTAGCACAGCTGTATTGTGGATACTGAGAAAACAAAACTGTGTGTTCAACACCATCCCTGTATAAATATTAAAATGAGTAATAAAGGTATGAACACATTATTTAAAAATTTCATAAATAATGTATACTTACTCTTCGATTTTTTGTAAAGCTTCTTCTGCCAATGGGTCTGCATATCTGAACCCCACGTAATGCTTGTGTGGAGCAGTTTCTGGCGATATATGGTCCAATTTTTTACAGAGTAGTTCCCCTTGTTTATTGGTCCAGCTCAAAATAGGAGAACCTCCTCCAATTTCTTCATATTTTTTCTGGACTTCTGGAGTACGTCTCTGGGCAATCCACGGCCCCAGTCGGCTAAAAATATATAAGTGCTTGATAAATAAAAATGAAAAAAATAAAATAAAATACAACAGAGTACTACTATACCTTTGAACTGGAAGTTGAATCATGTCCCGATCTGTCATGATTCTATGCAAGTACTGACCAACTTGATCTGTTTTAGTTGGGCCACCCATATTTAACATCAAAATACCAGTTTTTGGTCTTGATTTTTCTTGAATCTTTGGCTGAGCAACTGTAGACATTGAGCGCAGAGTAGAGATCTGAACCTTCCAACATTGCTTTCCTACAAAATATAATTTGTATTAAAGTGGCTGCTTGCAAATTTAAGTGGCTGAGAGCCAAAGAGTGGAGCTAATTTAATTTGTACTTACCAAAATTTATAATTCCAGCCAAATTAGCAGAGCTCATTTTTCTAATGAATTTCAGAATCTTGTCCCAAAACACTAGGTATGATTAAAAATTACTTTCACTTTGGCAACAGAACGCAATGACAAGCGGAAAAATATTTTTCCAAAGCATGAAATGAAGCACGGAAATGTGTATAAACAGTGCAAGGTTGGACTAGGTGTTGGCTGTCGATCGTTACACTGTATCGTTACATCTATATACACTTATTCGTCGATCATTAACTCATATAGTCTATTTTCCGTGCAGTTTTCTTTAACGATTTCCGATTTTTCCGACACTCATGACGATCGAGTATCGAGTTGTATAGGTATAACTGCATGCGAGTGTAAATTTAATGCAGTGAATAGCTTCGTACATGTATTTGCACTTATATAGGTATACTCCGGTTGCCGGGTAGGGTATATCTATGAATGTATGTATGTGAAATACAAGTTTTGTAGTAAGCGGTTAATTAATAAGCTCTCGTTAAATTATTGAATTCTCGTTTGTTTCCAAGATAATAATAATATTTAGTTAACGCAATAAGAAGAAAAAGTTAGGTTATAAAAGATGGAAGACGATGCAAGCAAAGAGCTGCCCTCGTCTGCCTTGGGTACACTCGATTAGTAAGTAAAATACTAATTAACCACATGAAAGTCGTCGAAAGCATGAAATGTCAACGCAGAATAAGAGAAATAATGGTAAAACGCTCGTAACCTACTTACAGTTGGGAGACAACGTACGCCACGGAGATGAAGAATTTTCAGGATCACGAAGACATCGGTGAGGTCTGGTTCGGCGGCGCAAACTCAGCCAGCGTCATCAAGTAAGTGCAGCATCGCGTAGGTATTCAAAGTTAGCACGATTAAAAATTGCAGTCCCGATACAAACCGCTGAGACTGCAAATAACGTACACTATCATTGTAAACAGATATTTGAAAAGTGACACACTACGCGCGCGCGTTGAGTCGATTAATCGAACGTCGAGTCGAGATTAGCGCCCTCTGCTGTTGGAAAGTTTAAGCGCGGGCTTTTTAAAAATTTGGACAAACAGTAAATAATAGCGCGTGCGTACTGTACTAATAAAAGTACTAGAATGAAAATTGAGTGGAATAATTGATTTTGTGAAATCTCAGATATATTTGCACACAGTTGGCTTTGTCGAAGGAATCGGACAGGATAGTCGACCTCGGTTGTGGAAATGGCTGGACGTGCGTGCAGCTTGCCAAGGCTGGCTTCAAAAAACTGTGCGGTGTCGACTACTCGTTGAAAGCCGTTGAACTGGCAAGGAAGATTGCAGCCGACGAGGACCACCCGGAAATCGAGTTTTTTGTTTGCGATATGGTTGACGGGGAAAATCAGTTGAAAGGTACCAAGGATTTTAAATTCAAGTTGGCGCATGACAAGGGCACGTACGATGCTGTGGGCCTCTGTCCGGATGATCCGAAACAAAAGAGACGCAAGTACATTGAAAACGTGCACTCTGCCATCGAGGATGGAGGATTCTTCATCTTGGTGTCGTGCAACTGGACGAAGGAAGAGTTGATCGAGCACTTTCAGGACTGTAAGTGATTTGTAATGATTTTTAACTTAAAAAAAAAAAAAAAAATCTCCATTACTCAATTGTGAAAAAAATTGTTACTGTTTCAGACTTTGAATTTTCACAGCAAATACCAACGAAAACACTTTCGTTTGGTGGACAAACAGGTAACACTGTAACGATATTAGTTTTTGTAAAAAAAACAAGAGGGCAATAAAATGAGTAATCAAATTTTTCAATCTTTTATTGGTGCCCAGTACGCGCTCTCGCATTAGTGACAGGCGAGATGCATCAGTTGTATGACAATTGTTTTTTTTAAGTGTATAATATCAGAAAAGTATTTGAAAACACCCTGTACTTATGTTCAAAGGACTGTTTTTTACGGTACATATTGTTTGTTACTAAGGCAAACGTGGCTCGATAGTTAAGAATGCTCGTAGCAATGAAAATCAGCAATGCTAGTTTTTAGAGTAGTTATGCATTTATGCATGAATAAGATTTTGCCATTTAAATTTAAAGTGACCCACATCAGTTGGGATGATTTTGAAAAAATATTTTACCGTACGCTTATTAAATTTATTAGATTTTCTTTTGTAGAGAGTATGGTGCAGTTTATTAGTTTTCTGCATCCTCGATGATTTAAACGTTTCCAGCGAGCAACAAGCTGGCGACTAGCGACAGTGCCGAAAATCCAAAGGCAACGGGGCTACCTGAAAAAACAAAAATTGAAAATTTTTCTGCGCCAACAAGTAGAAGCCATCGCTAAAAAAGCCAAGTAACGGCAGAAAAAAGCGAAGCTACGCGCATTTTTCAACCATAAAAAAAAATATGAAATAAATCTGGAGCGTATTACGAACCACTGCACATCTTGTCGGAGTCCTCGACGTAGCCCTGCATGCAGTAGCAACGCTTGCCAGGCAAATTTGTCAAATTTCCAACGATGCACTGTGCCCCTTCGGTACACTCCTCGTCGTTGCTGCACATTACTTTGACCCCTGGAACAACAATCGGTAGTAAATCCTTACATCCGAGAAAGACCAATCGGTTGAAAGCCACGTAATAACAATTAATAGCAGTGTAATAATCGTGCAGTCATTCGAAGACACGACATCGCCATTTGGGCTGCGGTTTCATCCACCGCGAGGGTATTGTACAGCCGATTGCCCGAGCCATAATATTCACCCTCTCTGGCCGAAACACCGTTACGGCGTGTGCGGTGCACGCCATCGGTACAGCTCCTCGCAGATTTTTGGATTGCAAGTGCTGTACTTACACATGACGGTAACTTTCTTTCGAAGTGCCTCACCCGCTTGTTTTTATTGTATCTTACGACCAACGTGAAAGTCATATTTTTTGCACGGACTAGTACGGGTTTCAATAGTAAGAATGAATATCGAAAAAGGTGGCGTCATGTTTATAAGTATATGCATCAATCACGCGTCTATACTGCTATACCCTTTCCATACATCCATATTCCTTCGCTCGAGGATGGAAGGTATATGTACTTACTTACTCATTTACCGCCACGACTGTGATTATTGTTATATGTCCCATCCCCGTGGCGTTCTCCATATACGGCACCGGCAACTATATACACACATGTATATATAGGTATACGCCCTTTGGAAGTTCCTACATTACTCTTGTACCCTCTGCTTCTTTCTTCCTCCCTCTCTCTCTTTTGCTGGTTTAGTGCCCCTCGGCACGCGAGCTTCCTGTCCGCGAGCTTATCGCCAGCCAGCGATTTTCCCTCTCTCCCTGCGCTAGACGGCGCGTGTGGCCCCATCGGAGGAGCTTTTGTTGCCGGCAGCCCATCATCAACGACAGAGACGGAGCGTAGCGCTTGCGCGACTTTGCGAAAACTTTCTTTGCCGCGCGACCCATACTCCCTCCCCTGCATGCCGACGTATATAGTCTTCCCATTACCTACTTACATCAGCGAGACTTTATTTCGTGTGTGTGTGTGTCTAATAGGTGTTGCTTATTACTTTGCTACAAGTTTGGGCTCGCGTTTTGCCAACTTTTTGAATATGAGGATATGTATCCGCTTGGCGTGATGCGAGTGATTAACACCCACTTGACTCGTTTTTGGATAACCGTGCACGGAGCTCTCGACAAAACTATATCTGCCCACTCGGTTGACGGGCACGACTAGGGTGAATAAATACTTTTTTTTTTTTTTTTTATTTACTTTACCTTGATTGTCAATATACGACTTGTTACACAGTTTACATGTATTGATGAGCCGGAGAGGGAGGTTTCGATCCAAGTTTGCTGGCTTAATGGTATTTGAAATCCATCAGTTCAAACCTTTCGAATGGCCGATGATTGGTCGTCATTTTTTTTTTCTTCCTCGGGTTTCTCCTTTATTTTTATCAATAAATCGTTACAAACGCACGCACAAGTTGCCGTGTTTCACGAAAAAGTTTCAACACTTCGTAAAAATAACTGACTTCACGAAAAACGGATCTGTCATTTTTACGTAATTTTTAAATATTGGGTGACGAATCGAGTATTAATCACGGGATGCACCCAAAAAAGTTATTTACCAACTCGAGCACACACGAAGAGAAAACATGTATACGTAGTTCTACGCGGCGATTTCTGTTTGATTACTTAGCGCCGAGTGGAACGATTTTTGCGGCAATCGCATGTGAGATTTTTCCTCGTATCAAGTACGTATACTTGGGTGTACAAGTAAGTATGGCCGCAAAAATTACCATAACACTTGCACGCGACTTGCCGTGTCGTACGACCTTTGGATTTTTTTGATCTCCGCGTCGAGTGCAAGCGTATCCAGGCACGTCCTTCGTCGCGTTCCTTCGTACTTGTATTGTGTACACATGGCATACTTCAACGGGGAAGAAAATGATGTACAAAATAAACACCCGTGTATACTACTATTCTAAATGTTTTCCCATTAACTGAAGAGTCGAAAGATTCAGTGTCGTTTGATAGGGCCGTTCTAGGGCCACATATCGAATTATCGAACAGCGTCGTTGGCTCATAATATGAGTATTAAAAACAATTATTTGTAGCACAGTATTCGAGGACCCTTTATTTTAATCGTCAAATGTTTTACGCATCAAACATTTTCTCCCCTCAATCGTTCATCATCGGTATCACTTTGTGCTAAAAACCATCGAGGAAGTATAACGATCGAAAATATATGGCGTAAAAGTTTATCCGAAGGTATCTCATAGCAGTTCCCCTGAAAATGTCAATGCCCATGTCCATTTTTGTATTTACCTTTGTATTTGTTGTCGCATAGCCCGTTGGCCGGTGGCTTGTAGTCACCGCACAGACATCTCATCTTGTTGTCCTCCGAGTCTATCGGTTCCAGGCACGAGGCGCCCTTTATTCCACTGCACTCCGACTCTGACCTGCACTCCCTCGCCACGGCTCCTGCAAACAACAGTAGCAGTACATTACAAACATTTATTTTTCACGCCGAAAGAAAATAAAATACATGGAGGGTGGTATGCATTACCCGATACGTCATTCTTATCTCGCGGCTCGGTTAATCATGTCAACTTTGGTGTGCCCAAACGGCGATTTGTAAGTGACTAATTTGCCTCAAAACGATAAAACACCTTCTGATCCATACCCTTAAACACTCGTGCGTGTCGCGTGAGAGCAATAGCACATGTATACATTATACCGACACTTGGCAACCAAGACAAATCGTAAATAACACATTTGCATTGCTAATGCAAGGCATACAAAATGGCTGCTTCCATTCACCGTCGGATACAATATTTTTACACTTATCTGTAAAAGATACATGGAACATGTATCTTTTTTTTTTTTTTTTTTTTTTTTTTTTTTTTTCAAATTAATTTCACAGGGAACGAAAATAGACGCTGTAAATTATTATTGTCCAAAACGAAAAATTTCCTCGCGTCGGACGGGCGGTAGTGATTACAGACAAATGCATCGCTCGATCTCGAATTTCCATTTGCGAAAGCCCGACGCAAGCTGCGCCGTAAAGTTGCCAGGAAAACCTTGACACCCGAGATTTCTCGGCTCCGATACCTTGTACTACATCGCGGGTGCACCTGCCGTCATCCAAACGAGGCGAAAAAAAAACGCTGCAGTTTTCACGTTTCCAGCGCACCCTGGGTTATCCAATTTCGATTTTCCGTTTCCACGAGAAAGGGTATATCGGTATGCACAATATACCATAGAATCGATAGTCCGACCAATCTTGGGTTTTTCTACTGAAGAGCTCGGTAGGTATAGGGGCACATAATATGCACGTGTGTATGAAACGATGACTTAAACACCCCATCGGTACAGGGTGGATGTATGTATGCAGGCCACAAATTTAGAGCTCTCGTACTTAAGTGTTCTTCCGGGAATTTGCATAATGGCATAAGTAGTAATGGCTCACGTGTGCTTGAGTCCACTGGAATTCCCAAGGAGGCAAAGCAAAAAGGAAAAAAAAAAAAAGAGAGAGGGAGGAAACCTCGCCGTGACGCGTAGCTTAAAAAATGAAGTAGAGACATGCGAGGCTCTAATTCGGGCTCGAAAACGCCTTGCCCCGAAGAAAACCGGGGTACAGAGGAAAATCGATGCGCGCGTGCATCAAAAGACCGATGACGTTGCGATACATCGATTCAACCCCCGCGTTTGCCCTGTGGTTGTAATCGTCACATCCCCCGATTTTCCGTGTAAACATCGACGTGAATTTTGATTTCCCGAGGTGGTGAAAAATTAAGTCCTGATCGAAAATGCGCAAAAATTAAGGTCGCGTGCCGCACCGCGTTATCGAAACTCTATCAATGCAAGTCCAAACTAAATATTAAAAATGTTTTTCATGGCGGTCTCCAACTTGCCGAATCATTAAAAAATAATCAAGTCACACGAGCGCGCGAGCGAGACACGCGACGACTAACCAGAGTATATACTATTATTTTATGAAACAACGATCGCCGTGTCTATTTTTTGGTGGACTCACCGGGTTGCTTGTTATCGTTGTTCTGGTTGTTTTGGTTGTTGTTGTTGTTGTTGTTGTTTGTCGGACTCGACTTGCCGAAAGTCGTGAGCGCCAGGGGCCAGCAAGGCACCACGAGCCCCATCACGATCAGCAGCAGCCCCAATCCCTGGAACCGATTTCTCTGCGATCGGCCCCTCATACCGTCGTCTCTCTCTCTCTCTCTCTCCGATTAATTATTCGCACCAAAAGTAAAAATCTTGTGCCGCGGAGTGCAGGTGAAACTCGGGGAGCTCAGGCTTACAGGGTCGTGTAAGGAGGTAAGTGAGTATACCGTAGGGGGTGCGTGTTCGGACTGCGCGTGGTCGAGCCACCGCTAGGCCTTTTAAGACCTCGCCGAGGCAACCCCCTACCCTCCCCGAGCTCCTTCTTCGGCCCTCCTTGTAACAACTCCTCCTCCTCCTCCTCCTGCTCTTAAATTTCTTTTTTTTTTTTTTTTTCCTTCTATTTGCACTTTGTGTACACACGGGAGCGACCGGCTGCCGCTGGTGCACCATCGAGGTAACGTATAATACTCCGTGCCCAACTCAAAGGGGGTTCATACTTACGCAAGCACCTACCTTGTACGCACCTGTGTCGAGTTCACCTGTTGTGGGTATTATGCTGCACCGAACCACGGGACTTTCATGGTAATGAAAATAATTTTACACGCAACAGAGGTAATCAAGAGCATGAATGTACATAGACCATTCAAATAAACGAATGAACGATGGCGGTGTTGGACACCGCGTTGGTACAAAAATAGCCGAAGCGTGAAAACGCATCAATCATCGAGGGTGTTTGCTTTTGATTAGCGTAAACACAAATCGAGTTGTCGATCTATATATATATATAGTGCCCGTTATCGGCACCAGGGGCGACCCGTAGATTTGATTAGCTTCTACATAAATGGCGAGTAACACGAACATTTACAGACCATCAAGTTGAACATTACAGCGGCCAGCACACCCATTTCTGGCGTTTTGGGTATATTTTTTTGTACGATATGGCACACCCCTTTGGAAAAATCATTCGATCGATTTCGTGAATAATATGGAGCATATGTTTTTTTGTTTTTGTTTTTTTTTATTTTGTTGCATCAACGGGAAGTGAAAAATCTAGTACGAGGTGATTGAAGAGAGTGAAGTTTCTCGCCGAGTATAATACATCGGACTCCGTTCCTTACCCACCAGGAGACACGAAACCGCGAGTTGGCACGATTTCTCTTTTTCGCCGTTTCACGCTCTCGACTACACACAAATGTATCACTTTGAGTCGGGACCCAATTTACAATGAAATGCAATACATATGTGCTCATGAAAAATTTTCATCCCTATTTTTTTGTTACTCCAGTGAAAATACCTATACCTACATTGTACATGTATGCAGCGTATGAAAGAACGAACAAGTGGGTATATATAAATAAACAGACAAACAGCGGCCTTGGTCGAATGTCAAGCTCAGAGCGATTGATCAACTGACGGAGCTTAATCAATTCCGTGCATCGAATTTGGCTGAGCAAAAAAAAAAAAAAGGGTTGGGTATATTTTTTTTTTTTTCGTTTTCCTCGTAAAATTTAAAATAAAACACAACGCTGATGGGTACGCGTTTTTCACGCCAATGCTTTATTAAATGGTACACAAAATGCCACCTGCGCGGAGATGGGAGGACATTGAGAATGAAAAGGCCAGCACTCACCCCGTCAAAGTTTCTCTCCATTATTCACGCCCAGAGCCACGATTTAACCTTCCCGAAGGACTTTGATTTGTTCGGTACGATTGCCGGCGAGGGGGGGAAAAAAAAAGGAAAAAAAAAAAGAAAAAAGGAAAACCAATCGAGCTTCCATCGATCGGACACGCGAGAAGCGCTTAAATTTAGTCACGAGGCATAAACATTGACGACGCGTCCGCGTGATTTTCTGCCCGACTAATGGAGGAAGTTACGTGGCGTTTCGGTGCACCTCTCACGCGAGCCTGCACAGACACAAATCGTTACACAATGACTTTTCGTTATCCCGGACAAAAAGACTATATGAATAACATCGGAAACGAAGGGTAATATATAGACAGGTATGTGTATGTAAAATGATTTGGCGGGGGTGTCGCGCACGAATGGCGTATCGATCAGTGACGCGTCAGTAAACACCTCAGCCCGACACGCGATTGTCCGACATGACGTAAAAGTACTTGCTCTTCTTCCTCTCGTTCGACTCCTCCTCCGACTCGGACGACGAAGAGGAGGACGAGTCCCAAGATCGCTGGGCGGGCGAATTCAGACGGATCTGTATCCTCGAGTACTCGTGCTCGGCACCGTAGCCCCGACGCCGCGGCTTGTCCTCGTTGGACGACGACTCCGAGGACTCGGAGGATGAGCTCGCCAGTATCCTCCGGCCGAGGCGACCCGTCTTCTTGTCCTCCTCGGTGCTCGCGAGGGATCTCTTGGCCCGATTGTCGTCCTCCCGGGGTAGCAGGGTGTCGAAGACCGGGAGCCAAGCTTGGAAGAGGGCCTTGACGTTGCCGTCAAAGTGGGACTTGTCGGTGTCGTTGTGCATCAGCTGGATCCGGTCGAACAGGGCGTTGACCAGCTGCACAAAGTCCTCCTTGTTCTTTGGCTTGTTGTTCTTGTCGTGCAGGGGTAGTTTGGACCGGTCGCGAGGGCCCTCCTTGTCCTCTTGGCCTCCTAGGGCGTTGGTCGCCGAGGGGTGTTCCACGGACCTGGCGCGCCTGGGGTGCTCCCGGGCCAAATTGTCGCGCTCGAGAAGCCTCGTGATGTTGGTGTACCTCTCGCTTGCGCCGAGGGCCACCTCGATCTCGTGGATCCGCCAGAGGGAGTAGCCCAGTAGGGAGAGGACCAGCAGGTAGTAGCAGAGCCGCAGTGCCCCGAGGACGTTAGGGTGACGGGGCTCCTGCTGCTGGTGGCACTCCATCTTCATCAGGCCAGAGAGATAGTCCTCGTCGTTGTAATGCGCTTGACCTGCGACAAGGAGGGAATTAACAATTCTTACTTTTTATTGCGCGTCTTTTGCCAAACTTACGATCGGTTTAAGCATGTAATCGCATAAGGACTCTGCGGACGGGAAGGGGGGGGGGGAAATGAACCAAAATTAACTTACAGTCGCACTTTTTTTCACAAAGCTGGCTCTGCATGCTCTCAACCGCGCAACCTTTCTCGGGCCGATATTGCTGCTCAACTGACCTTTTATCGCGCGTCTGTGCACCCTCCGCTGGTGCGCTCGAAATACAAATACGTTTATTCGCGATTATTGCCGTCGATTCTTCTTCTTCTTTTTCTCATTTTTCTCTCTCCCGTCTTCTCTCCTCCTTATCGGCATTTGCAAGCGTACGAGCACGTGTCTCCCTCGGGGCATCATCGGTATATATATAATACACGCACGCTTGATATCACTTGTTTTCTTTCGCAAGCTGCTAATGCTATATACGTATACAACACGTCCCCTGCACAAGCGGGCAATCGACTTTTCCGTCCCGGGCGTATAGTAATTTTTCCTCGTTACGAAATATACGGGTAATCATTGCACAGCTCGCCAAACCGATCGATCTACTGCCGTGTGTGTGTATACCATATGTAATGAAAATATAGGCAATAATGTATAGTATACACGCACTGGATGTACATTCAGCCGGTGGTCTTGAATTTCCGGTTGCAGGTGGTGTCGACCTGATTGTCGTCGTTAAAGTCCTCGGTGCCGATCAAGCAGTACTCGTAGGCCCCTTCCTCGGACGGCCTCTCGATGTCGCGCACCCGCCACACGGCGTAGCAAATCATCGCGATGAGGCACGCCAAAAGGGCCATGGCCATTATAGCGAGCGTCGCGTCTTCCTTGGGTCGCTGAAACTTTGGCAGGGCCATGGGAACCGCTTGCAGCCTACCATCCTCGAGGGCTTCTCTCACCGAGCCTGCAAATCACGTTTTCACGTGTATATAAAAAGCGTACCCTCCAACTAAATGTTACCCTCTTTTTTTTCTCTCTCTCGTTAAAATGCTGTCGCATGCGGCAGTAATTAACACGTGGACATCGGGGGAACTCGTGTCGCGAGATCGTATTGCAATCGGTTGTTTCAAATGAATCCACTACACGCGCATACGAGGGCATATACATGTAATGACCGAAATTTTTTGCGTGAGGCTAATGCCAAATTTGACATCTAAAATAATCATTGGGAGAGGTCACTCGAGCAGAAAGTGAATTCATTTGCATGTGACATTGTATTTTCTAATTAAAACTTGGCAATATTGTTTTTTTCTTTTTTTTTTTTTTTTTTCTGAAAAATGTAGTAGTGATGCAAATTTCCACGGACTTACAATTTTGTTGTTTTAGCGTGGCGCAAAGTATAATATATTTCAGTACATTTATGTGAAGCCAGCTTAGAAAACCAACCAATCAACTAGATACTCGACAGAGCGTTACGTCACGGCGCCCGAGATGCGCAAATATAGAGGCTGCAATAGATATCATGTTTACGAAAAAATGTATCTTTATATGAATGATATGATTGCGAAACGATTATTTTTCCCTGTAATGATTTACAGTGCGAAAATCGAATGAATCGGGAAAAATTAATTGCAGATGAGCTAATTAATTTTTAACATTAAATGATGTGCAAGAGTAGCACCGATACACTCGGAAACTGGTAGCTATATATTTCAAAACAATTTTCTGTAGTTGCAATTCATATTTTGCATACCTATACGTAATTTTTGCCAATACTTAACAACTGTACTATACTTTAAACTAATAAAAAAAAAAAATTTTTACCAATCAACACTATACACTTATGATGATATGGATAAAAGTTACTCGCCTCTATGCAGTCCATCCGTGACTTTGGAGTGAAGTTCTTCGAGCTCGTATATTTCATCATCCATCGTTGACAATAACAATCTGGCGCTCCTTAAAGTGACGAAAATTTCAAAGTGGCACAGATCTTTGTTCATGTGCCTTGAAGTAAATCATACTGTCAGATAGCACCGACGGCGACCTGATGTATGTACGTCTATACCTGCGAGATGGTGATAACAACGCGATTTATCGGTACCGTATCTTGCGCGCAAAACTCGCCCACATGCAGTGCACACCTATTTTGCACAACCAAAGTCTTATCTCTCCTCAATGAGATCGTAATCGATCATTCATACTTACCCATGAAGCGCAAAGTTTGGGGAAAATCATAGAGACCCCATTATTACACGCATATATAACATGCACTTGAGGCTTTTCTTACTCATATGTATACGTCCAAATTCCAAAGCTGTGGTCGATAAAATTTAAGTAGATATCGTTGTAATGAGCTTCGAGTATCGAATGTGAGAAAAAAAAATTTCGCACACAGATAAGTAGATTATTTATCGGAGGAGGAGGAGGAAGAACAACGCGGTACGTGGCGCATTCTATCAGTAGCCGACGGAATACCGATTAAGACGGCACCATCTTTCGCGGCGGAGTTAATTGGGTCTCGAGTCTTGACAAGCAAAAAAAAAAAAGAAAAGGAGCACATACAGAGACAACCAGACGGAGTGTAAGGTACGGCTTGGCAGATGCGACCGTGAATCTCTCTGTCTTTCTTTTGTTCCCGACATTGTGGGTGTACGTGAGAACCCGATTTTTCTGGGAATTCCGCGTGGAATCGGATGCGTCATGTAAATCCATGTATATATAAATCGAATGGTACGTAGCTGGTATTTTTTTTTTTTTTTTTTTTTTCCATACGTGCTCCTTGCGATTGGCGCGTGCAAGTCTGATGGGTGTCTGGACACTGTCTGTTTTGTGTTTCGTCCAAAGAATCGTTGTCGATCTTGGAAAATGCTGATAGTGTACCTGCGCGCGATTTGTCTTGTTATAGATACTCGAATTTTCAAGCATCAATTTGAATAAACATAAAAAAAATGTTGGTCAATTATTCAAAAAAGAAATCGACGAATGTAACGATTCGTCAAAACAACTGGACAACGAATTCCTACGTACGTTTTAAAAAAATTACGTTTTTTATTGGAATATTCTGGAAAAAATGTTTTTTTTTTCATCCACATTCTGCATTAAAAATAACTTTACATCATGCGTGTTGTTTTTGTTAGGATCAGGTTTCTTACGATTTCTGGCTTGGCCTTGACGCGATGCCTCTTCGCTGGTACCAAAGTGACGCGTGCCAGCCATTCCAATAATGATTTAAAAACACGTTTGCGGGCAAAAGATGTACATTTTCGTTAAATATCCGATGGATCCTTCGAGGGGCTTACTTGAGTGACAACAGCACTGACTTCCCGAATATCGGAGAAGAGTAATAGGTTCACCGTTGATTGTTTAAACGATCGTTAGCAACCTACTTTTTCAAGACCAACAATGTTATCTTAAATTCTGATGAGATTAGGTGGTAGAAAGGGGAATCAGTCGAAGATAATAGATATGCCTGTACTAAATACACACACGGCTTGAAAGAAGAAAAGTAAACTTTCGCCACTCGATGGAGTCGGATGGCAAGGATTTCATTGAGAACAAGAGGTCTCCGGTTCGTCAGTTGCGATGCAGAAGACTCCGTTAAAAGCAAAGAGAGAAATCTCCATCCGCACCGAAATGAATGTGTCGCACTTGATTGTTTTTCGCTGCGGCTTACACATATAGTATATGTCATGTACAGCTTGCATACTCAATTATCTGCTTTCTGATTTGCACTGTCAAAGTTTTTTTTTTTTTTTTTCCTTACTTTGCGATTGTAATTTACTGTAGCACTATTGCACAGCTGAACGCTCGAATAATAATCGTAAGCACTTCAGGTGTACAATAGGCACACTTTTGTCTCGTGCGCAACCGATTTTTTTTTTTTTTTTCCAGAAACGTTTCTTTAATGGTTTCGAGATCGAAAATTGCATCGCCGTCACTGCATCGGTGCACCGTTTTTACATTGATTTGGTCATAGCGAGTCACTTCGACATAATCTCGGGTCACAGATTTTTTACAATATAAACTAATAAACATCACTTTACCGAACCAAATGTTCAACTAGGACTCTACAATTATACGTTAAAAATTATTGACTCTTCCTCTCCCCGTGACTCAAAAAATCGTACCTCATAGTCTCGTTATACGGGTGATGTTTTTATTGTTGTCACTGTCGTCAATGGTGATGCTGGTACGGTGCAACAAACCCCGTGGTCACGCTGGAAACGAATGATTATTACTGTTACCGTTCATGCGGTTGGGCTCTGCTCTAGTTTCACTGGTGTATATATTTTTGCCTAATCGGCACACCGCACCCGATCCATGTACACAGAGAAAAAAGAAAGCCGCAGGTCTTTGATTTTCTCTTTTTGTTGTACTCTTACAAAAGTTTTTAACTATGAAAGACAAAAAAAAAATTCAAGTTGTCAAAGTATTTTCTGCGTGTACTCACCTGCAGCGTCAGGTCGATCGATGTGCTATGTGTAATATATATGCGCGCAATTGTGTATGGGTACTTATATTTATAACAACGTCCCCGCAAGACGTGTTAAACTGTGTACGGAAGGCGTACATAGATATATATGCATATGTATATATATATATATATATATAGCCTCTTACATCATCCGTATTGGGTATACACATGGGCGCGCGCACACCTGTCGATGTCGATTTGACTCTCACGCGTGTAAGTGCGTGTAATAGATACAGGTATACGCCACGGAGCAAGGGCGGTGATCGGCGAGGTGAAGGCAAAATTCGGGGGGGGGGAGGGGGTCATGGAAGCGAGGGGCCGAGGCCCACACACCAAGAAAGACTAATAGCCGCGCGCGCCCAGCGAGATAAGTAACGCTCTTAAACACTTTGCCTGAGCGATGCTTCTTTTTCTCGAGCGCCGGAGAAAGAGGAAGATATACAGAGCCGCTTCTGCCGTTGGAGGCTCTCGCTACTTCTGCAACGGCAGCAACCGCAACCTGCAGTGCCTCTCTTCTTCTTCCTCCACCCATTTCCATCTATAACACGCCTTTCCTTTTTCTTTTCTTCTTCTTCTTCTCCTTGTCCATCGTCGGATCACTCACAATCTCCCTCTTCTCCTTCTTATTTCTCGCTCGTACACTTTGCGCATGCAATGCCTACACACGTACATACATACATGCATATATAAACACAACCCAACAGCGGAGGGGTCTTTTCTTTTCGCTCCACGTACCCCTTCCTCTCCTACTGCACGCAGCTCCTTCCTTTCATCCCACTCTCTTGCCACGGCAGCTCCTCTCTCGCTTCTTATCGGCTTTATTTACATTTTGACTCTTTGTCTTTCCCCGTCGAGGTTTANTAACGATTCGACGAACGAGCTTTTGCGAGATTTTTTTCTTCAACTGTTACGAAACACGTGCCTACTTTGGAAAAATGGCAGTGAAAAACAGGAAGTTTGTGCTTTTATCTTTCGTAAAATAGCGAATCGAGGCATTTTTTTTGGGGTCCCACACGCCGATCGTTCGATCGGCATGTCAGAGTTATGCCGATATGTTCAAGTGGAGGGTAAAAGTAATCATTTCAATAAAACCAGAGTAACGTAAGAATAATGTATATGCATGTATCGCACTGTAAAAAAAAAAAAAAAAAAAAAAAAAAAAAAAAAAAAAAAAAAAAAAAAGAATTGTCATAATCTTCGAAATACGGCGTAATAAGTATAAAATATATTCATCTACGTATGACTTTCGGAACAAAAATGAAATAATCATCTTATTTGGTAACAATCGGTATACGTTTTTTGTAATAACCCACAGGTATATATAGTTATCGCCATCATCATCTTCACCAGCAGCATCGTGCCGTAAATGCGCGTGACATTTACATTGTTTTATACATTGTCGTGCGTCGTCGCCATCAGAGAGACAGTGTAACTTATTGCCTGTACGAGTGAGCTGTGCTTCACCACACCTGCCAACGATAAAAAAAAGTGGACCCCGTGAGGTGTACATATACCCACCTACAAATACTTGTCAGCCGCGCCCTTTCTCTCTTTCTCTATTATCTCCCTCGGCACGTGTTTTTTTTTTTTTTTTTTTTTTTTCATACATTTTGTTGTACTAGCCAAATCTGTCTACACGCCTGTACATACAACAGTGTGATCACAACATACACCCACCTTCCGCTCTGTGTGCACCTACTCGCGACTTTCTCTCCGACGGGCGGGCGTACACTTGGCGATCGGTGGAGCCTATGGAAATTGCACGACACGGCGAATCGACGAGTTTTAACTTTTCCTTTTCGCGCGAAAGATGCGCTCTTCGGCGTTTGGTTGATAAAAGCCTCCCGTGACGCGTGCGCATCCGCGAGTGTACCTGCGTGGGAAAGTTTTTCGCTGCCGAGCGCGTGCGAGGGGAATACTTTCACCTGCGGCTTGTATATTTATTTATTTTTTTTTTTTTAATTGATTTATCGCGACAAAAAAAGTACAGAGAAAAATAGAAAGAAGTCGAGGGAGACATGTAGACGTTTGATTTTACAATGGGCTGCAATGAAGGATGTTGAGTCTTTGTACGTGTTGTATGGGCGACTGTTTAAGGAGAGAGAGAGAGAGTGAATCGACAAGGAAAGTCACGCTGCAGAAAGTACCAGACTTCTGCCGAGTTGTATATGTGCGTGATGCACAGCAGCGTCGAGACAAATTATGTATTCCCGTCCACGAGTTTCCCCTCGATATTTTTCCGGCAAAAATAATTCTTGCGACTACCGCGAGTTGTTTTCGTTGCCATCGCCACCGCTGCTTTCTCGTTCGACACACCAAGATGGAAGGGGCCACCACGCGGCATTGTTATCTTTTTTTTTTTTTTCTTTCTTTCCTTCTCCTCTTGATTTATTGCCTTCCGAGAGTTTACTATTTATATTTTCACGAAATAAATCGAAATGCTCATCCCTCGCGGATTTATCAATTACGAACTAACGATATCACAATTTTTCTTGTTCCCTCGATCGTTTCGTTGAAATACTTGGGCACGCCTTGCCCTACAACATTAGTATTTTTTTTTTTTAAGTAAAAATTTATCGATCCCCATGGACGGGTTGGACAAAAATCTATTCGCATCCGGTGCGCGTGGAATGTATGAAAAAAAAAAAGAAAGAAAGAAAAGAAGGGACGAGATTGGATCTGGAGGGTTAATTCAACTGGGAAGTGGGGTACTGGGTGGGCAGGTTCCACGTGGACTCGACGGGGTTCAGCTTGGTGCTGCGCGGCATGGCCCTCGGCTCTTCTGGCTGTTGTTGTGGCTGGGGTTGTACCGGCTGGGCTTGTTGGGGCAACTGTTGCTGCGGCACCTCCTGCTGGGGTTGCTGCTGCTGCTGCTGCTGCTGCTGCGGCATGTCCTCGACGATGGGCTCACGGTAGCTGTCCATCAACGGAACGGGCATGGCCAGGTTGATCATCTGGTGGTACGAGGGCAGTGGCAGGCCCATCTGGTGCACCGGCACCTTCGACACCTCGACGTCGTGATGCTGCTCCTGGGCGGCGGCCTGGGCGTAGTAGTTGTCCGGCGCCTGGTCCGCCGGGGGCACGAGCATCTTGGTCATCGGTTGGCCAAACCTCGGTGGCTGCTGCTGCTGTTGGCCAGCCTCGTTCTCCTCGACGTGCTTGATCACCGAGTTGAGGATCTCTTGTATCGGGAACAGAGGGCCCAGGATCTGCTGGGGCTGCATCGGCTGTTGGTCGCGGCTCTGCTGCTCCACGGGGTTCAGCCGGATGATCTCAAAGTTGTTGTTGCGTCCGGCCGGGGCCTCCATGCGCGCGCTCGGCGGCTCCTCCTGGTGCATCAGCGGCTGCACCCGCAGCTTGATGCTCTGGATCATGATCTTGGGGTTGTCCTCCTCGGAGTCGGTGGCCTCGCTGTCCCGGCCCTCGGGCTCGCCCCCTTCCTGGTCCTCGTTGGGCCCGGTCTCCTCCGAGCTAGCGGGCTGCTCGTGATGCCTGGGGCCCCCGAGGGGGAAGAAGCGCACCTTCGCCCCGGGGAACATGAGGTTCTTGAAGATCTCGTACGGCGAGATCATCGACCTGAGCTTGGCGTCCGGGAGCAAGGGGTCCTTGGGTGGCATCATCTCCTCCTCGAGGCTGTCCTGCATCTGGTGGGACTGTTGTTGTTCGGGCTTGTCCGAGCCGCTGATCTGGAAGATCTTGAGGCTGCTGCCCAGGGAGAGGGGGCTGGCCTTGCGGAACATGGCGTCGATGGGGATGACGAGGGGTGGCCGGCCGTTGGGGAACCTCGGGCTGACGGGCCGGGGGGCCTCGGGGCTCGGCTCCTGCATCTTGTTCAGCTCGACGATCTCGACGTTCTCGTGGCTGGGCAGGTCCGAGGTCAGGAACTTGAGCACGTCCCGGACAAAGTGGTCCTCCATGGCTGGGGGGTTGCGGAACACGTCGAACGTTTCGGTCAGGGGCTTGGTCGGGTCCTGGCTGTCGGTGGGGTTGGGGTGGTCGCGCCCATCGTTCAGGTCTTCCGTCGGCTTCCTCGGCTCCTCGGCGGATTTCTTGGCACCGGTGGCCAGGGAGTTGAGCTTGTGGTTCTGGTTCTGCGACTCGGAGAGCTTCAGGTCGCCGGCGTCGAGCTGCTGTTGGGCGAGGCCTTTGGAGGCGACGAGGGCCTGGGGCTGCGGGCTGTCCTCGAGCTCGTCCAGCGAGAGCTTGTACTTGATGAGCTTGACGTTGTCGGCGCTGTCGCCCACGGAAGCCTCGAGGTTTTGGACGCGCCATGTCATGTAGTTGGTCGAGTAGACGAGGTTCTGTACCTTGAAGAGGGTCACCAGTGTCAGGCCCAGCAGGAGGATCACCCCGGCCAGGAGGAGGGTCTTCGAAGAGGACGAGCTCCTACGCTCGCAGTGGTTGCCCCAGTTGAGGTCGACCGGCACCTCGACCTCGGTTGGCTTCTCCTCGCTCTTCTCATCGTTGTTCAAGGTAATTATCACCTTGCCTGCAACAATGCAAACGCACGCGCGCACTCGTCACATCATTCTACATATTATGCTTCGCACTCACTGATGCTTTTTCAAAATAATTATTTACTACTTTTCATCATAACGGCTATTACATGTGCGCTATAACAAGAGAAACAACTAATAATGGAGGGAGGATTGAAAAAAAGGGGCCAATTGCTTTTAAAAAATATCAAAAATTGACCAAATTTAGAGGTTCGTTGAGCAACTTTCGAATTCGCGGCCCGTACTCCTATTATATCAATTTTGTTGGTTTGTATGTATATATATCATATACGTATGCTTTCTCCGGCGTAGATGTATAATTGAGGCTTCCATGCGAATAACCGGTCGTGGGGAGCGCGTGTATACCTATTTGCTAAATTGAAACGCTCTGATAATTGAGTTTCGCGAAAAAAAAAAAAAAGAAGAAAAAAATTACTTATTCAAATTCGCGAAGGTACTTTCTCCCGATACCGCAATCAAATTTCACGGGGGCGGGTGGGGAGGGGGGAGAGAGGCAAGTCGCCCGCGTCAAATTGCCGACAATTAAATTTCCTAACGTCAATCTTGGCAAGAAAATAGAGGCGCACGGAAAAAAAAACAAAAAGGAGTTGCACTGTTTTGTTGCGGTAATTCACGGCGTTTTTGCATAATTCGCGCGGCGCGAGAGCGTTTATCTCAAATGCAAGAAATTTCTTCGAGTGCAGTTGATTGTGCCCGCACACGTAAAAGAGGAGCGCGCGCGCGCGTGTGTATACGTTTATTGCCGAGTTTACGTAAGACGTGGGCAGCCGATGACTTTTCCAAGGATATTCTCAACGTATACATGGCTCGTAGCCGCTGTCGCAAGCCGCGGACGGCTCAGCGAGTGTTTTGAATTCCGCGTGTGGTTGCGCGTCCCTGTATTCATATAAAAAAAAAAAGGTAACCGGTTGGAATTAAAAAAAAGAACCAGATCAAAACGAGCCGAATATTCGTTTGCGCGTCACTCCGCGTGTGCGCGCATCAACGATGTCAAGGCGAGCACACGAGGAGGATGATGATGATGGACTCTGAGAAAGGAGAACTACGATTTGGCAAAGCCTTCGCTGATGCAGGCTCGAGATCCTTGCGTATGATTGTACTTATAAGGCGAGCTACGACCGATCGGCCACGTTGCCAAGTGCCACATTTTTTCTTTTTTTTTTTTTTTTTTTTCCTCTCTCTACGCGTAAGTACACACCCAAGTGTCAATCTAAATAATTACGCGCTATTTATATTAAATAATGTATACACTTGTGCAACGATCTCGAATCGGATGTTTCATCGCCGAGGGAGCGTTTGAGAAATCGGCAGCTCGAATCGGAACGATTATTATTACTTTTGTCGGAGAAAATTAGATTTCTCTGGTTTTTTTTCTCGGGAAGGAGGGAAAAAAAAAAAGAAACACCGAGACTCTCGCGTAACGAGGGGTTATATAGTAATACGTGCACCGAATAATATCGGTAAGCGCGACTTACGCAATCGGACCCGCTCGCGGCCTCTCTTTCCCGAAGAGGAAGCAAAGGGGGCAAAAAAATAAAAAATAAAAGGGGCCGCAAAAGAAGATTAGAAAATGTATACAAGCGCTTCTACATACACACACGCACAAGCAGCAAATGGGCTGGGAGGAGGAGAGGGAAGAGAAGAAAAAAAAAAAAAAAAAAAAAAGGTTGGCCCGTTCTTGTAACTTGTGTATAGATAGGGTATATGATGGTGGTGCTCACCGTTGCACGGTTTCTTCCACGGTTCCTTCATCTTGACACAAGTGCTCGAGGACTACTAAACTGGCTGGCAGCGGCTCTTTGGGGCCTCTCTCCGCGGCTTCGTTCGCCCCTTCTCTTTGCCTCACAATATATGTATATAATATATCCTCTCTGCAGGCGCCTCTCGCGGCCCGTGTCTCTCTATGTATAGGTATACACAACTCGGCGTGTGCAACTCGTCTCGTTGTAACGGCGCAAGTATATACAGGCTCCTAGTAGGTCCCTCGCTGCTGGGGCACCTTTCACCAGCCGTTTTTCCCTCCCCCCTCCACCCGTACCGAGTCATGGTCGAGAAAGTTGCTGGGTCAGGCGCTGGCTTTACAATACCTATACTTACGTCCCACCGCCCGCATTATATACTTTGCTTTACATATATTGTGCGCATATACCTATACAGGCGTGTGTATATACATCATATATATATATACCGCTCGAGCTGTGCCTCCGCAGTGCTTGTTATATTATGTGTACTCCCCCGTGACTCATGAAACATTATATGGGCCCCTCCACTGGGGGGGGGGACGAAATTTATTAACCATTTTTCGGAACGAAGCTGAGAAAACGCACCTTCGGTGTGTACTATGAGTGTACAATAGTATGAAGATGAGAGGCTTTTGTGGTCGCTCTGGACCCGTCAACACTCCAAAGTGCTGTTTCGTCAGGAATTACTTACGTGTCCCATTCTGCGAATGTTTGAGGTTGATCATTACATACCTTCTTTTCTTCTTCTGTCCATTTTTTTTTTTTTTTTTTTTTGTTACCTCCTCCGTGTCTAATTGTTTCGGTTCTACCAAGGCTGTCGGACCTGTACTGTTTCGTATGGTCCGAATCAAATTGGCAAATTAAAATTATCAAAATAAAAAATGGCACGATGGTTGGTGCCAAAATTTGCTCATCGATGTCCTCGTAGGTACGAATAATTATTTTCCATGGAATCAAAAAAAAAAGGAGTGGGTACAGGTAAGTATCCTTTGGGTAATTTGGTGACTAATTATTCGGCCTTACAGACAACGAAATTACTTTCGTGCATGCACGCGGGCATTTAAAAATAATACGAGAGAAAAAAAAAAGAGTGGAAAAATATTACGTGCGACCGACGTCCTTTCGAGATGTACCTGCATGGGTACAATGTCTCATGTATATACCGTGACGACGCGCGGTGTTGGCAAACATTTATTTTTTTTTTTTTTTTTAGATAAAGCCAAGGAAGAACAGGCTCTGAAAAATGTGGACGACAAAAAGCCCCGTTATCTCTCTTACATGTGGATGGATGTAGGTATATAGTTATACGTAATAATAAGACTCTGTTTTGTTTTTTGTTTTCGATCAAATATTCACTTTATTGTATTCTGCTTTTTTTCCTTCAAAACGTATTTATACATCGATTCATTATCTTCGCAAAGTTTTGATACTAATAATTATATNGGGGGGCAAAAACAGGCGTCGAAACGCGGAAATGCAACTGAGCCTTACTTTTGCAGGTAATACGTTTCATACCCATGCATGGGTATAAGTATATATATACTCTATCGGACATTATTCCCACTCGACAGCGAGTCCGTGAGGTTTTTAAGGACGCGCATTTTTTTTTTTTTTTTTTTTTTTTCAACCAATTTTATACATATAATTCGCGCGACTACGTTGCCTTGGACTTTTTATTTAATATTAATCATGGCGCTGATTGTTTGATTTTAATCGAGTCAAGGGCCCTTTTTACGTGTGCAACCTTGTCTCGACTCAAAGTGTGTCAAACGAATCTTCTTCATATTTTCTTCTTTAATATGACCTCATACGACGCTTAATATTTATGTTTTCTTTTCAAAACCAAAGTCCCTCTTGGCGCTCACGTGCCATCACAGCGGTGACAGAGTAACGATCAACTATTTATTATTATTATTATTATTTTGTTAAAAAAGATTTTTCCAGAAAGTAACGGCTCGGTGTCTCTCTGTTGGTTGAGAAATTTCTGCGCCGTCTTTTGTCATCGTTGGCATGCGCGAGAGTAATCACATTTTTAATAATAAAACACACAGGTCGAATTGTTTGAGCATATTTATGTAACGTGATGGGGTAACGTTTTTTAGTCCAGAAGTAATTAAATTGCAAGTTTATGTTCAAACTGTTAAAAAAAAAAAAAAAAAAAAAAAAAAAACACTCATAAACACGCTTTATCGGACTCGCGCGCTGAAAAAGACACTAGAGGAAAAAACCAGAAACAGCTTTAATTTTTCAACCATAAGTAAAAAAAAAAAAATATTTGTTGAATTTATCGTTCGGTGGAGCTGAAATTACTTGACCAAAAGAGGCTATTTTAAAACACCGGTTTTGACAACGCTCCATAACAAACAACGACAAAGAACCAATGTCCCAAGGAATGTTTATCATCGCGATTCGCTGAAATCGCCAGCAACGCGTTAGCTTTGGTCTCCGATAAAAATATTTTCACCAAACGGCACCGAGAAAACGCTACGTCGGCGGCCGCGCCGTGTGGCTTGACAAAATCGTTTCTCGGCTGCGCAAGCCAAATACGAGAAAACTCGAAATTATTTCTTTGTTACGGCCACGTATAATACAAGGCACACCGGCAAAGTTGAATTTAGCAAATATATTTATTTCTTTGCGCACGTGCCTCGCCGTACACTCACACACAAGTTGAAAATATGAAAGCTGGCACGCACGACTGATTTGCTCCCGGGACGCGGCGAAATGTATACATTTTCCGTTAATGATGCAGAGCACCGACGCAAATTACCCTTGCGATTGAATAGGCAGTTGTTTACCACGCGACGCACGGAAGATGGGAAAAATAATAAGAAAATGTCTGCGGACTGAACAAGATAATGATTGTGCGAAAGAGAAAAAAAAAAATTACATTTTCTTTTCCTATCCATACAAACAGCGCTCGAGTCGATTTTTTACAAAATTTAACTTTGCACGAGTGGTAAAACATGGGGATTCATTTTTCCCGAGGTATAAACCTGTAAATGCAAATTCGGAGCTGAAATACACAAAAGCAGCATAGCAGCAGAAATCAGGCATCAAGAGGCGCAGAAAGCGAACGACCGGTGAAGGTATACATATATATATAGTATACGTATAGCGCATTAGTAGCTCGTGCGCTTAGAGAAGAAGAGGGGCCCGTTCGTTCACTCGTTCCCGTGTACAGCCTATTATGCTCTTTCGAGCGGCTTCGCGCCTTTCACCAGCAAGCGGCCATTAAGCCGAGAGCCAAATAAAAGAGCCTCGCTACAGAATATTACACTTACACACGCGCGGAGACTGTACGCTTATTAATTTTTTTTTTTTTTTTTTTTTTCCTCGTCCAGCATCACCGAGATCATCGGTACAACGTGCGAGATGGACCCGCGTGTCTTTTTTCGCGTATATATAACTTTTTTTTTTTTTTTTTTTTTTTTTTTTTTTTTTTTTTTTTTT